GTTATATGGGGTAAACAGAAAATGATGCGTCTCTGTAAGTCATCTGGGAGTCTTCAGTGAAATCATTGATAAATAACTATTTTTATAAAACCTTATTAAAAATCTATTTATGTAGATATTAGCACTAATAACATCAAATTTATGCAGAATGATTAGTGATAAAAGTAGGTAAGTAATGACAATGGAAAAGATGTTTGCCCCAGAACTCAAACCTGAAAGAAAATGATCCACTATGCAATTTATCTAGACAGCACGGATGTTGAAATATATGCTTCTATTTGTTACAAAGCCTGGAGGAAAATATAGTTTCTCTTTATTTAGAATATTCATTAGATTTTTCATTTTTCTGTTGGAACAGTGTAGCTTAACCCTGAGGTTCTTGCATCTATCCACTGTCAGCCACCCCTCAGTGTATATTGGTTATTGCATGGCCACCCTTATTAAGATTTTCTGGCTACGCCTCTGCTGCTGCTGAGGCATGCAAAGATTCCTACAGAACATATTCACAAATAAATATCATTATCATTAGTTGTCCTAATATACAGAGTAATGTCAGCTTCAGCCTCCAAATAAAGCAGTTGATTAATAATGACATAGTTACATATTTCTTTGTTAATCTCCAACATAAACATAACCAACCTGTTTTTAGCAACACATGGTACAAAATAACCTGTGTAAAAGGATATTTTCAATATTTTATCAACAAATACAGTAATTTATGAATGAGTTTATCAGCCTGTCTGCTTCTAAAACTGTTGCAGCAGGAGTAGCACAGCGCTGACACAATGTTTAGCCCAGATTGGTGCTTCCTTCATTGGTTTACATGAGACAGGATGACCTGCTGCTTCTATGAGCTCCTGACTAAAATAAGCTCGCTCTGAAATTCTGTTCTCACAGCAGAAAACAGCATTATGCTCTCACTGAAAGACGTACCTTGTTTTCCGGGCAGGCTGCTGAACAGAAGGACAAATTCTGGGGTTTAATCCTCTGAATAATACGGCAGAGACGTTTAAAATTGGTCCGCAAGGGGAGCGCCATGTTGATTTGGAGGAGGTAACTACGGTGGCTGTTAAAGGACAATAGACTCCACCGCGTTTCAGCAGAAATGGGAAAAGCCGAAGAAGAGATATTTGAAAAATATTAAATAATATCAAAACAGTCATAATTATTCTTACTGTCATATTAAATTGAATATTCTCAATACATTAAAGGTAAATATTGTATTATATATGTATATATTATATATATTGCATATGTAAAACTGTAATTGGAGAAGAATCAAAATGCATAAACAAAGAGGCAGGCAGGCAGGTGGAAGGGAACAAAACTAATTTTTATTAACTGATCGAATAAAAATAAAAATAACTATACAACAACAAATATACAACAACAACTCTGAACTTTGTTTGGTTTCTATAAACAGGGAGAAAAGTAAATCATGACAACAGAATTAGAAACAGAATTAGAAATAAACAAAATATAAAGTTGAATAAATAATATCGTTTTATAGGCTTCTTTGAAATATTAACAGTCACTGCCAGATTTGGAAGAGAGAAAACAAAAATCTAGAGCATTGTAGAAATCAATTCAAATGTTTTCAATGAGAAATATTTTAGCAGTGGTTTCTCTCTGTATTAAACAGTTAATTACTTCAAAAGATTTCTTTCTTCATTTATATTTTTCATAAAAAGACAAATGATAATCACGTTCTTTGGTCATTTTTATGAGTAATCAGAACATAATCAAAAACATCAGTAATAATAACCATAATTATTATAAAATAAAATAGAATAGAATAAAATACAATAATAAAGATATGTTATGGTTCCACAATAGGGAGATCTTGGCCCAACAGCAGCAGAGTGACGAGTATTTAGTATTAGTAAGGCGATTTGCACAAAAAATTTAATTTAAAAGTGTAAAAAAAATAAAAATAAAAAACAGTAAGAAAATCAATGGTGTAAAACTGTACAGTTATTACAAACTTTACTGGAGGTATATCTGGTTATGTGGTCAATTTATCAAAACTATTCCTCAAAATAAGAGGCAATTAATGTGGCAACAGCAGATATGTTGTCATAAATGAATGAAAAAACTAAGCAAATAGCAGCATGTATGTAAACAATGAGCTTGTTGGGAGCAGTGATGGTTATAAAGTCTTTAAAGCTGCTGGGGGGAGAATGCGGGAGTCCTTACATCATTTTCATAGCAACAAAATGATACAACATCGCTGTGTATTGTTCAGATTTTTCCTTTTTAATTTTACTATTATTATAGCTATGAATCTTGGGTATTTTTGTTGTTCCATCCTTTCTAAATAAATGTATCCATATAGTAGATGCATAATAAACATACATCAAATTGAATTTAATTGAATCAGTAATATGATCTGTAATATTAGTAGTAGCGCCGTCAGAGTAGCGATGGATGGACGTAGAACCTTGAACCAAAGTACACAAGATTGTTTTTTAACTTTTTTTTGGAATGATCATGACCTGAATGACTGAGAATCTTCACCAGCATATTGTAATTCATTTTGGGAAAGACACCTTTGGAATAATGCGTATGAGAAATTGTTTAGGAAACTTGCAGATTATAGGAACCATCTTCATTTCAATTTAAGGCTACCGTATAAAACCTCAAACTCAACACTATTCCTCGCATTTGGAACTGAAAAAGCTTCCTGGGTGGGAAGTGAAACGTCTTCAAACTTGGAAACAAAGTCCAGTGTATTGTTTTTTAACTTATTTAGGAATAAAATAGAACCTTATAATTAGGGTGCCTTATTCGCAAATTTGGATAGTTTTCAAATTTGTGCAGCCATCATTTTATAAATCAGACCTGCTTTGCGTAACTAACTGCTTTCAAATCAACATAATGTTAAAATAGATTCTTAAGAAAATAACACATTCCCAATTTACATATCGTGGGAACAACACAGGACGGTGTGGTCTCTTTGCTGAATTGAACTCCAGATTTCTCTCCTTTGTTCTGTAAGCATGTCTGAGCCCTGGGCAGCCTATAGAAGAGGGCGATGTGCAACTTTACTCGCTCCCACCACAACATTTACAGTAGGCTATGGAAATGTGTCAGACATGTGTGGTTTCCTCGTCTTCATCTCAATTAACCGGTGTTGTGTCTGGCTGCCTTCTCAACGGTCGAACTTTCCCAGGCAGCAGCTGCAGAACTCCTCTGTTCTATACCTTACCTCATTACAAAGTGGCGATATACATGCTACAAGTGATTATGCTCCGTGCTGGATAAGGTTACAACATGTTTGCAGGGCACACCGGCTGCTCTTAGTCCCTGAGATCTCTTGTTTTTTGAACATCTGCTCCTGATTTTCCTTTCCCCCGTCCCTTCTCCATATGCATCTGGTTGCATTCGCAGAACAAAATACGGACTATCTTTCCATATTCATTATTATTTCCCCAGGCACTGTGTCAGATCCTTTGGTGAGTCAGATTTAGACCTAAGCTGGTTTGTTCTCGTATACCTGGTTGATGTGAGATCTTGTTTTGGGCCAACCAAGAAAGAATTGGGAGATGGGCTGGATGTTAGGCTTGTAGGTGTGTATGTGGGTGTGTGTGTGTGTAGAGACATGCAGCGCCTGTTTCCTGGCCACCCTGTAGATGTTGTTCCTCCTGTGCTTCATCTCTGATTTCCTTTTTTTTCCCCTTCTCTCACTAGCCCATTGCTCTGCTATTTGAATCTTATTAAACAAGTATTCGGGTAATGTGATATGGGGCACACAGTACTGCACTGGTTAAAACTTCTGTAGAGTTTAGTTATAAAAAAAAACAGATCCAACAACACCCAGATGGAAGTGGTAAGCAGAGACTTCTGTTGGTAGAAATATGGATAATAAATCAGAATACAAAGTCATTTATGATCCTGCTGGGTTCCTTAAAGATTCCAAACGTGTCACACCCTGCTTGGATTTATCAGGACCTTGAAGCATTTTAATTTACAATAAAAGCTAAATTGAATATACATGGAAGAAATAATCCTTATGATGAATTAAAATTATAATTTTATGAATGTTTGGCTTTAGTCCAACATTGACAGCTTTCTCTGGCTTAGAGCATTTTTCACTTTGTTTATTAAAGAGGAATAAAGTCTGCTTTTAAATTAGAGCACATGTCTTAATTTGGGCTCCTTTGAGTCTTGGATTAATCTTTGTATATATATTTTTTCTTATTTATATTGTGGGCTTTAAGAATAGGTTTTTCCTTATGTTCGAAGTTTTCCCTTGAGAGTTTCATCTTCTGGTTTTGGCTCAAGGATGTTCTAAGTTTTTATGTTGAAGTTGCCATTTTAGTCATTGTGTGTTGTTGATGTTATTCTCTCTAGTATTATTTTAAGTCACTTTTCTCAGTTTTATCTCATGCCTGGTTTTATTTGTTAGAGATTAACAGCAGTTTTGCTCTGTTTCTCTATGGTTGTTTTATTTTATTTACTTTCAATCAGACCATTTCATTCAGGCGTTGCCTTTCTTCTGATTATAAATATCTTTCCTTATCAATGACTTTAAAAACTAATTCCTTTTCTCATGTCCAGTTTATTTTTCACTTCGCATCTTCAAATCCTTTTTGTTATTTAATGTTTGTTTTTAACTTACTCTAAATTTAGTATTTTCGACCCATATTAACATTTTATTTTAAATTTAATAAATGTTTAGCTTCTTGCTATTAACAGTTAAGCAGCAGTTTATTACCAGCTGAGTAACACCTCTTTTCCAGTTAGATAACAGTGTATTAACGCTTTAGTAACAGCTTATTAACAAGGGTTAGGTAAATATTAAATGGAAAACGGAAATCATTTAAGTGAAGTAAGAAAAAAAAGTAATTGCAAAAAGAATTTGAAATGTAAAACAAAAAGAAAATGAAAAAAGAAAAAAACTTTTTGAATACTGAATAAGGAAAGTCATTTATAAACTGTGCTTTTTAAATCACCATGTATTGCAGGATTCAATAATTGATTGATAAATACAATTAAAACTTGTCCTCAATAATCTAATTTAAATATGCAATCATAAAACGCTTTTTTAAATTGGTTTTATCAATCGATGAATTAAATTTTAAATTTGAAATAGTCTATTTGTTTTTACTTATTCTCCAGTCCTCCATAGTTGAAGGCCTCTTTACCACTCATGTTTGCACACCAGGTTTGACTTGTATGACTTTTTTAACCCTATTAAATACTTCCACTCACCTTTCTGCCTCTATCTGCATATGGGTTCCTCCAAGCTTCAAGTACAGCATCCACTAAAATGCTTTGATGGAAGATTACTTTATAGGTTTATCTATTTCAGACCCCGTATCCTATAGCATCTTAAACAGGAAGGTAATTTGCTGTGTTCAGACCTGACATGGATCCTGGCTGATCCAGTAACACATGTCACAGAGTGTCACCTGAGCAATAAATAGTTTCACTGATCTCTCTGTAACACCACAGATATCCAGTTAGTGGACCTGTTTTAATTATCAAGGAGGAGATGCATTTGTACCACATTTCTATGCGTTTTTTGGCTGCAGTCGACTTCAACCTGCATAGTTTAATCAAGCTACCCACCGAAAGAGAACAAAGGAAAATTAATCAGGTGAAAGATGCAAAGATATAGAAGATGCAAAGATGTATATGCATAAACCACTGTAGTAAATCAGCTTATAGTGTAGATTAATTCCGCGCCTTAAATGCTAATTGACTGGATATTTACCATGGAGAGATTGATACTGTATCATTACATATTTAATATATCAGCAGTTTTATCAGCTCCAATACATACAATCACTCCTGAGAGGAATTCATTCACTCCTACTGCATCCTGATA